TTATATTTTATTATATTTTATTTATTTATTTATTTATTTATTTATTTATTTATTTATTTATTTATTTATTTATTTATTTATTTATACACCACCCTTCTCCTCAAGAGGACCCAAGGCAGTTTACAGTGTTAAAAACAAAGTATATAAAATGGGTAGGGGAGGAGAAAAACAAGACAAAACCAGCAGTCCAACTTTTAAGCAGCCAATTGCTGAGGAAAAGCATACTTGAAGAGATAAAAATACTTTCATTTAATATTTCCCCCCTTGAAAAGTATACAATGCTCTCAGGACAAGTACCGTTCCAGTCTCAAGATAAGAATAGAACATGTTAAAAACAAAGTATATAAAATGGGTAGGGGAGGAGAAAAACAAGACAAAACCAGCAGTCCAACTTTTAAGCAGCCAATTGCTGAGGAAAAGCATACTTGAAGAGATAAAAATACTTTCATTTAATATTTCCCCCCTTGAAAAGTATACAATGCTCTCAGGACAAGTACCGTTCCAGTCTCAAGATAAGAATAGAACATGCACAAATGCACTGGAAATTATGAAGAATATAAAGAGAGGGGAGTTTTCTTTTGAAGGAGATGCTTGGAAGAATGTTTCTCAGGAAGCCAAAGATTTGATTCAAGGTATGTATTAATAAATAACTTCTTTATTACTTTCTCAGTAACTCCAGTAGGTGTCACTAATTTGATTCTTGGGGTTTCAAAATGATTTTTTTAAAAAAAGCTTAAATAAGGCAGTGAGAGAGACTTTGAAGATGAAATAGTTGTGAAACCTCTGAAGTACACACAGTTCTGGATTATAGTTGTCATAAATCTAGCATTTTCTAGATAATATAAAATGATTCTGTATATTTTTTCTAAATAAATAGTAACTGTGAATCGTTCCTTATTGTAGATCTTCTGAGCATATAAAAGTCTGTAAGTCAAACATTCTATTAAGGTTCATTTCTACAACTTTAAAACTTCATAAACTGTATCATTGTACAGTCATAAATAAAATTACAAACTTAAAATTTTGCTTGTAATACATGTTAAATAAGGACTTTGATAAAGATAAACAATGTTTCATTGATTTAAAAATGTCTGTTGAATTCTTATTAGGACTTCTTACAGTGGATCCAAATAAGAGAATAAAGATGAACAGTTTGAGATACAACGAATGGCTTCAAGATGGTAGCCAACTGTCATCCAATCCATTAATGACTCCAGACAATTTAGGATCTTCAGGAGCTGCTGTACATAATTATGTGAAAGCAACATTTAACGTAAGCTCAGCAGTCATCAAATTATCATTTAATTATAAAGTAATGTGCATTTTGGGTGAGATGGTGATGCTGCGGGTTAAACCGCAGAAGCTTCTGTGCTGCAAGGTCAGAAGACCAGCAGTCGTAAGATCGAATCTACGCGATGGAGTGAGCTCCTGTCGCTATCCCAGCTCCTGCCAACATAACAGTTCAAAAGCATGCAAATTCAAGTAGATAAATAGGTACCACCACAGTGGGAAGGTAATGGCATTCCGTGTCTAGTTGTGCTGGCCACATGACCACGCAAACTGTCTACGGACAAACGTTGGATCTATGGCTTGGAAACGGGGATGAGCACCGCACCCTAGAGTTGGACATGACTGGATGAAATGTCAAGGGGAACCTTTACCTTTACCTAATGTGCATTTTAGGTACATATCTGTTCAAAAGTACTTAATAGGTTATCTCAAGTTTAGTGTATTTCAGCTTGGCACCCTATGTGAGGCACCTCTGGCTTCCTTCACAGTTGCACTGGGCTGAATATGAAACTTTCTGTTAAAGCATTGGAATAGTTAGGGGACAGAAATGGGAGATTTTCACTGGATTTTCACTGCTACTGCCTCTGTTATTGGAGAGAAATCTTGTTTACCATGTCCCTGCTTTCTGCTGGAAAAGGCTGTCTTTAGGACAATATTTTCCAATTATAAAATTGCACTTCCTCTTTTGACCATAGCTGGGACTGTCCATTATGTAGGATGATAAGATTATTTTAATCCTATAAAGATCAAGGACAACACTGGCGAAAGTCTTCATGTGCATAACTGAAGGTTGTGTAATAGGTGTGCTATGCCCAAGATGGAGGTGCTATCCCTGAAGCATTTTTACTGGCACAATGTGCAGTTAGCTATGTTGGGGATGTATGATAAACTGTGCAATTCCTTGTTGCCAAGCATAATGCTTGGCACATTTATGTCAGCATAACTTTGTTACGCTGGGATGAACAGGATTCTGGCCAATATGTGAGAAATTACTCTCATTCTGTTCCTGCGTTTAGCGCCAACATTAAGCAGAGGACATAGATATGCTAAAGGGAGCATGCGAAGAAGTAAACAGAAATACCAGATTCCTTCCATGGTCAGTTCATGTCCAAGAAAGTAGCTACTGTACCCCATCTTATTCTCCTCTTAGAAGCGATAAATTGTTAAAATTTACCTGGAACTTAATATCTGTTTGAGTTTGTCTAGCCTTCAGATGGTTGGGACTTTCCAGCTGGTATCAGGCAAAATCCTGACACAACTGCTAGGGTCCCACCACTGAAGATTGTTCTGGATATTCCTCTCCATCATAAAATCAATTTTCCGTACTTGGCAACTTGGTCAGGGACTTAAATCTTTTTAATTTCTCACAATGTTCTCAACTTAACTTTATTCTGGAACATTCTAGGATGGCAGCTCCATTGTCATGCTGCTGCTGGACTGGGATTTGCAGAGTGTTCTTCGCTGGGAACCCATTTAAACGTTGAACCAGGCTATATTCTGATGAAGCATTTTGGAGGCGAAAGTGTAATGGGCTGGGCTGGATGCATATGGCATGGAGTTGTTGCTCTCCATTCTGTTAATTATGGTTACACTATTTTGACACAAGAAGAAAAGAGTCTAAGAAAATAAATATATCCTCCAGTTAATCCTGTGTTCTCTTCTTCAGCAGTGTTAAATGATTGCTTTTTATTGGAAATGCAGCCATGCATTACTCTTTTAAAAGCATTTTTAATTGTTTGTAATGTAAATTACTCATGGAAAGTATTTCAGTGCTTTTATTTTTCTAAACAACTGCAGGAACTGAATCTGTTTTGAATGCACAAAATTATGTTTGCCTTTTAAAATAGGCCTTTAACAAGTACAAAAGAGAAGGATTTTGCCTGCAGAATGTTGACAAGGCACCTCTTGCAAAAAGAAGGAAGATGAAAAAGACAAGCACAAGCACAGAAACTCGCAGCAGTTCCAGTGAAAGTTCTCATTCTTCCTCCTCTCATTCTCATGGTAAAAGTACCCCGACAAAGACCCAGCAGCCTGCAAATCCCATGGACAGCAGTAATCCTGAGAGCATCTTCCAGTTCTCTGACTGAGAAATCAGAGAGATTTACTCTGCTTATGCATACTTGACTGCCTGTAAACTTACTAAGGTGTGTGTTCCTTTGAACACGAACATGTATCACTTTTTAAAAATAACTCCAACATCATTCCTACAATAGTAGGTGTTAAATATTTCTGTGCCCATAGTCAGAATCAAAGTTCAAAGGAGGGTGTTTTAGAAGAGTTTTTGTACATTGCTGGTAAGCTATCCCAAAAACTTACTTTAAACTCTTGCATAAATGCTGTATTCCAGTGGAAGACTCTGCATGTGGAAATTGGAATTTGTCATAGCTAACTTCTTTTATCCTTTCCTACCTAGAGATTGGATATTGTTGTGGCTATTTTGATTTCAAAAGCAGCATCTCTAAGCAATAATGCTGTTTTACATCCCACAAGAGTCCCCAAGGTTGTTCAGCCAGTAAGTTCTCCTTCCTGCACTTCTTGTCCCATTGATTCTTTACCCTGAATGGTGAGCTGCATAAGCTTTCAGAACGTCGTTATTTACCAGCAACTAGAGCCCTGTGTGCATGCCTTTAATTACACTTTTCTTTGGAATTTTCTATACATTAGAAAGATTACCAGGGTTGAAACATATTGGAAAGGAAGAAAAATATCTGCTTCCACAGATGCAGAAGCTTTTTTTCTTGAGCAGGAAGCTTGTATAAGGAATAACAAAGTCACATCCAAATATCTAGACATTCAGTGTGTAGAATGGATGCACAAGCACTTGCATAAGATATATGCAACAATTCACCTAGTGCAAGGGCTTGGTAACTGATATGAAGAACAGTATAATTTCTTCTAGTCTAGCTTTTGGATATATTCTTTTTTCTTGTTTGAAAGAATATTGGGGATTTTGAATAGCTTCAAAAATTGATTTGCTTGCTATTTCTCAAGCAGTCACTATTTGAAACACATGTAAAAGTTTTTTTTTAAAAAACCCACAAATGTTTATATTTATTTTCTATGTTCATGACTAGTTTTTAGATTTAAAAAATAGTTTCTCTTAAGTGAGAATTTGGTATTATTGTTATTATATTGGTCTAAAAATAAGTGTTGTGATATGTAATTGATTTGACGATTTGCTTTCTAGTTGTAGCATAATATTTGGAAGATTCTATTCCACAAAAAGCATCTGCATGGTTTAGTACACTTGTAATTGCATTTCATAAGTATTGGGACAATGCAATGAGTGCTTTTAGGAGATGCTTTGCAGCCTGCTTTAGCAATTTCAGTAAGAATTAACGAGCTTTTATTGCATATTCAACTGTGCAATACCAAGATTTTGTTTTCTTGTCTTTATTTCCATATCTATATGCAATACTTCTCAGATTTTGCCCCTTTTCATGTCGGGGTATGTTCTGACTGAACCACATGCACTGGGAGAACTAAAGGGATATTTTATCAAACACTGTGCTTCACATCTATACACTGTGTTTTATTACAACAAGGTATTTCTTCCTGCAGTCATGAAGTATTTGGAATCATAAATGTGATTCTTAACAGTGCACTTAAATGGTAATATAGTAAATTGTGAAGCATAATTTATCTGCTCTGGTCTTGCAAAAAAAGGTTGAGTGGTCCTATTGTGAATTCAGTAGGGCAATATGTATAAAGTTAAGTTCGTACATAGATGTTTGCATGCTTAGAGTTCACCTCAAAGATTTTCAAAAGAATTTGCTGCATTGTAAACAAAACCTAAATCCTATGCAAATATATGTGTGTATGTGTGTGTTTGTGTGTGTGTGCATATAGGAATTGTTTTTCTATTAATGGCTTGTTTACATAATTGCATCTTTTATCAGTGTTTTAGAAAACATAATGTGGAGCTGTCTATGGAAACTAAAGGAACAAATTCCTGAAAAAAGCATGTGTTTACGTCTAGCTGTAGTATCACTGAGAGCATTTTCAGCAGAAGTGTGGTAAAAAGTGATCCAAACAATAGTTTGTGTGTGGCTTACTGAGTCCTTGTTAACATTTATGTCACCCAGTTTAACTTCAGGGGGAAATGTAATTCTAGCCCTTATTGTTAGGTAGGATTGAACATTTAGTAACAGGAGCTCAGAGGCTTATTATCAGACACCAGATATGCAATGTGATTTTATGCATGTTTATTCAGAGGTAAGATCTTTTGAGTTCAACAAAATTCACTAGGTAGTAAACTAGAGTGCATAGGATCTGAAGCTCACTTGTTTTCACCTCTCAAGTTACTAAAGTAACTTCATGATTTGAATTTTTAACTTGAGCTTTTTGACATTTGGGATTGTTAATTCAAGATAACATATAGCACAAAAGTCACACATTGTGTCCACCACACGTGCCTTGGCTTCCACACTGTGTTTAATTTACATTTGTAGTCCATGTAACTGTGAACGGGAAAGACAGTTGCTTTGTTTTTCTTTAAGGCAATTCAGTTGAAAATTCTTCTGACCCATTTTTGGTTTGATCCTGTTTGAACCTGAACACCTTTGAATCTGAGACTTGAGAGTAAATCCCTTTGAACTCAGTGGGATTTATTTCTCAGTAAATATGCATAGGATTGTGCTGCTAACTGAATGCTTTGTCATGAGTTGCAGCGCAAGTTCTAAGCCAGTGGAGGCAAACCTTTTTCGGCTCGAGTGCCCGAAATGAGGGGGTGGGCAAGAAACCAGTGGCTGCCGTGCCGCCTGGAAGACAAGAACCGGAACAGGAAGTGGCAGTTTCAGGGGGAATCATGGGGATGTACAGGAAGTTAAAGGATCCAGAACAGGAAGAGAAAGGGGGAGTCCCAGCTGCAGCTACTTCAAAAGGTTTGTTTCCACAAAGGCGGGTGGGAGGGCCACTCACTTGCGTGCCAGAAGAAAGGGCTTCACGTGCCAGATGTGGCACGCGTGCCATAGATTTGCCATCATATGATAAGCTAGCTGAAAAAGTGAGAATTGTTACTATTTATATTACTCTGACCTTTATATCTTATAATTCCACATGATGATAGCACAAAGGATTTAAGTTATTTTAAGTTAAGACTAAATGCCAGCATTTAATTTCATTTTACTTAACAGATCTCATAAAAATATGACCTGTATAATGAAGCATTTTATTTCTGATAAATATGTCATAATTATGCAGAGAGCACCAGCAAATAGATGCAAGTTAGCATTCAGTAAATTACACACATATGTCTTGTTATTCTTTTCCCGTTTGCTATTTGAATATGACGATTGCATAAAGTATCGTTTTCAATAAAATCACAGTGGTTCCACAGATTAAATTACAAGGAATGAGCCCTGCTTAAATTCTATTAAATATATAGTCACTTTTGGAGAAATTCAGAGACATTGTGTTTTATATCAGAATAAACTACATTAATATTTTGTAGACTTTAATAAAATGCACAGAGTAAAGTAATGATCTACAATTTCTCAGGAGAAGGGAGATTTAATCCCCCACCCCATAGTTCTCTTACACTAGGCAGCTATTGTGAAATTTTATCAAGATTTATTGTGGTGAAGGGATGCAACTTGGAAGCAGAGTTTGTTATGAGGCAAACATTAGTGAGCACAGAGTACAATTTATACCATTAGCATGATTTAATTCACAAAATTAAAGATTTTGCACTTCAAGATTTTGCACTTCAAGATTTTGAAGGTGTATATTATATAATTTTATCTATCACATTTTGTATAGCTAATGTGTTAGTTTGAAAAACTGTTACAGTGATAGTGAATAGAAATTGGTACAGGTATAGTTGTAATATCACAAGTGGATTTGTGTTAAATAATGTAATCTGTTCCATTTATTGAAACAGATTATTTCTTCTGTTGATAAAGAGTAAAAGAATGGGAGTGACTAGTTTCTTATTTCCTGACTTGTTATTCAGTGCTGTGTCTTGCTGGCAAAGGCAAAGCTGAAGATTGATAATGGTGTTGGTAAGGGAAAGTGTGGTTAACAAGTCAGTTAACACTAGGGCTTAACTGAGTCACTTAGATAACATGTAGATATGGGCATCCAGATTTGGTGCTATACTCTGCAGTCAATTCATTCAACAGACCACGTTTTTACTTAGCCATTGGAATAATACTTGCATGTCTTTGCTGCCTATTATTAATATTATATTTCATTTCTCTGTCACCTTTCTCCTATAAATGGACTCAAGGCAGCTCACAATAATCATAATATAGGAATAGGTCACTGCTTTTGCTGCCACATTAGTATCTCAGCTATCATAAAGTTAAGCACCTTTATGAATTGAGATGCCTGCTTTTAATATTTATTAATCTCACATAATTGTAAGAAACAAAGCAAAAGCAAAGCGTGCTACTTATATACCGCCCCATAGTGCTTCAAGCACTCTCTGGTAGGTTTACAAATTAATTATGCAGGCTACACATTGCCCCCCCAGCGAGCTGGGTACTCATTTTACCGACCTCGGAAGGATAGAAGGCAGAGTCATCTTTGAGCTGGCTACGTGGGATTGAACCCCGGGTCGTGAGCACAGTTTTAGCTGTAGTACAGCAGTTTACCCATTGCTGTACTACAGACAGAAAGGACAAGAAAATAATTCATTCTGTATCTCCATCCTAAATTAGGATACTTCAATTTCCAGTCATTGCTCATTAGATTATTAAAATAGCTGGGCATTGGTGGACCAAGATATATGTCACACCTGATATATCTGTAAAATAAGAAGTAGGTTTTATTCACATAGTTGAAAGAAGCTGTTTTCGAATTCTGGAAATCTTGTTTTAATTTCACAAAAGGTGTAATTTATGTTGGTAGAAAATCTTTGCTGGAGTATGCATTGCAACAGTGCAAGATGAGTTAGATGACAATGAAATGTGAATCTCAAAATTTAATAATTGTCATGATTAGTAAAATTTACCGTATTTTTCGCACCATAAGACACACTTTTCCCCCACAAAACGGGGGTGGCAAGTCTGTGCGTCTTATGGAGCGAAGAAAACAGATAATATTTTCCTGTTTTCTTCTCCAAAAAAATTGGTGCGTCTTATGGAACGAAAAATACGGTACTTTATGAAAATATCGACAAACATTTGAATATTCATATACTATGTATATACATATGTAAATAGTTAATTACATTGTCTCTCTTACATAGTTACAAAGGTGCTAGTATTGTTGGACTGTGATCTGTTAGATTTTTCCCCATAGTCTCTTACTGTTGAACCTGTTCCTTTCAATTGGTGTTTCCCCTTTGCTACTGTGTAACCAAATTTTAAATTTAACTGAACTGAAATGTTTATCATTTATTTACATATGAATCTGCCTTAACTTGTTCTCTCTAGTTCAGAGTCTACTGCACTCCACCTACCAAACTGTCCAAGAGCTATAGCAGGTATGGACTAGCCAGGCCTCATAAGGCTCCAAGTCTAACTCAACACCCAACCGAACCCTATTTTTTTTGTTCCAAGAATGCCCCCATTAAGGCCTCAGGGGGCACAATTTGCCATCTTTGTACAATCACTATGTGGCCTATTTTAGGCCTTAAAATATCACTTTTCTAAAAAACTGGAATTGACTGTTCTTTGTGGCCTCTGTGAATGCACACTAATGGGTTAAGTCTGTGCATGCGCAGAGGCCTCGGAACATTCTAGAACTAAAGTAACCGTTTAGTACCTCCCCCCAAGCCCTCGTGGTCATCCCGCCCTGACGGTTACCTCAGTTCCATTTCTCCCTCTGCTGCAGCACGTCTCGTTCTTAGAGCTTGACGCGCGGGAATCGGAAGTTACTACAGTGGTGCCTCGCTTAATGAGCGCACCGTACAACGACGAAATCGCATAGCGATCCCTTTTTTGGGATTGCTAATGCGATCGCTCAACGACGCGTAGATAGGGCGAAACTCGCTTTGCGAAGATCGGTAAGCGTTTCGCTTACCAATCTTCGCAAAACGAAGCCCCGACGATCAGCTGTTTGGCGGACAAAATGGCCACCGGAAGCCCCAAAATGGCCGCGCGCAGCGTTTTCGTGCCCTCCCGTCGCTTAACGAGGGCGCGAAAATGGCTGTCGGCCATAGGAAACTTCGCTGAACGGTGAGTAAAGGAGCCTTTTGGAATGCATTAAA